GATCTGGTGACCTCTGCAAGCAGGCAGCAAGCGGATGACAGTGAGGTGTACCCACCATCTGCTCCATCAGTCCATGACTGTGAGAGGCCAGAAGGAGCTGCTCGCAGTGTTGCACGCGAAGCCGCGGATCAGCTCGGGCGCAAAGTCGGCCAGTGGCAGCGAAGCCCAAAGAATGGCTTTGAGCCCATGCGCGAGAATGTGCAGGGACCAGCGCCCTTGGACCTGATTCCGCCCGTGTCCCCAGGGTCCCCAGCCCCAGCTGAAGAGCGGATCGTGTGCCACGAGGTGCTGCGCGCACACAACGAGTCTGGGAGGTCTCTGGCAGCAGAAGCCATCGCGAGCCAGGAAGGTGCTTGCGACGCAAGTCCTGCTTCTGCTGCGGTTTTGTCAGAAGGATCGGTGGACGCCCGATATCTGGCACGAGATGCAGTGCATCCTTTCATGCTGTGAGTTGAGGTTTCTTTGCTGATCATAGTGCAAAGTGCTTGTGACTTGAAAGTGCAGCTCGTATGTTTTCTAGCGCCCAGAAACTCGGCCATGGAGGGGCCATTGGTTTCTCCGTTTTCCGCCGGCTGTCACTTGCAGCCGTGCAATTAGTTGTAGTCTCTGGGGCTGCCGGCGGCTGATGAAGCAGACGCCCAGCCTGCCATCCCACCAAACGGTGAGTCATGGAAGCAAGAAAGCAAAGGGTCGCCAGGGCCAAGCCATCTTCTCGCACCGAGGCTCAGACGTTGTCAGGCCAAGACTGCAGCCTTGCATGGCCATTTCTTTCAGCCAGACCGTGTACTGTACACCAGCTTTCGCATGTCGTCTTTAGAGGCTTGAGGACAGCTTCGACGGTTTGTTGTCAACAGATCTCAGGGACTTCGTGTGTTTCATGGCCCTTGCGAGCTCTGGGCGCCGGAGCTTGTTCAGATTAAGAGATGGATGCGGCGTACAGCTGGCAGAGTCATCAGGTTGGAGTGCCTCCACATCCTCTGTTGCTCCGCAGCTTTCGGGAATACGAGACCAAGCCAGATGGGAAACAGGAGCCGGTGTTGGTCCTCGGTGCGCGAGAGTCCCACGCAACGGATCCACCAGTCCGTGATGCAGACTTGGTGGGTGTTTGCCTGGTGGTGCGTGCCATGTCACGAACCTCGTCGCTGCCTGGGCCCCTTGTGCGGCTGGACCTCACAGGAGAGCTGATAAGCTGCAGCGGTGCAAGAACCATCGCGGCTGTTCTGCAGGTGAGTTCGAGTCTTTGTTCGGTGCTGCTGCGACGGACTCACGTCGGAGATGATGGAGCGGCAGCACTAGGGGCAGCTCTGAGCTGCAGCATGCTGCAAGAGCTTGACCTCGGCGAGAGCGCTGTCACCGATGCCGGCGTGAGATATCTGGTGCGAGGCATGCAGGTGCACGGGGCACCGCCAAGCTTCAAGATCTTGCTGCTCGATGGGAATGCAATTGGGGATGCAGGTGCCATCGAGGTCATTACTTTAGTGGAGGAAGGTTCATCGCTTTCAACTCTCAGTCTCCATCCAGCCCTGCCGCGCTTCCTCTCAAAGGAAGTGGAAGCTGCTCTGCAGGTGGCCTGTGAACTCAGCCGAGTAAACTTGGAGTACAAGGGACATCCCGTCACTTTGGATGCGCTTGCCAGTCCCAGGGCCAGGGCCGCCAGGGCTGCCGGGGCCCTGGGACGCCCAGCAAAGGAAGAGCCTTGGCCGAACCTCCATTTAAAAAAACAACACATCCGCTCTTTTCTTTTCATTCCCAGAACACAGCAGAACAAGAGAGTCACCACGCTTGGGAAGATCCATCGGAACTGCTGTCAGGGGCCCAGCGCCACGGCCAATGAGTCGGGCAGCTCACGGCCATTCAGGGACCCCAAGACGGCGGCTCCCCCGAAGCGAGCAGTGCCGGACGTGCAGCATGTCTGCAACAGGGGTTCAGCGACGGTGTCTTCACGACAGATTCGCCGAGTCCCGAGGCGGAGTAGCGAGCACCTGGCTTCGTGGATGGCGGCAACGGAGCGTGAGCTGCGGGAGCTAAAGTGGTTGCTGCGCTCCAGCTCCGCAAGGTTAGATGGACAGCATAAGATGCTCGGCCCCGAGCAGAAGGCAGTTTCTTTGCGAATGCCGGGCCCAACCCCAGCCCTAGCCCTAGCCATCTCCGCATGTCTCCGCACTCAGAAAGCTGGTGGCTGAACTGGAGAAGCTGCAAGCACAGCTGGACAACTGGGCGGTGGGCAGTCCTCGCTCAGAGCCATCAGAGGAAGCTCGGCTTGATGTCTTGGAGGCCAGTTGTCGGCTTCTTCCTCTACTTCTGCATAACGCACATGTACGCTGTCCATGAAAGGCGCGGTTCGATGCGATTGAACAGCTTGTTGGGAGAGAGCAGTCGGAGTGTGCACAGTGGCCTGGCTGCAGTTCTGGGCGAGTCTGAATGATGCTGTCGTGACGGATGCAAAACCCACCAACAGTGCCCAGGATGTGGCAGCTGGTGGAGGTGGCGGCTGGGGCCGGAAGTGCCAGGAAGTGATGCTGCCACATTGCCTGCGCCGACTGTGACAAAACGCACCAAACAAAGCTGTCGTGGAGCCTGGCCGGGATCATGCATGTGTGAAACGTCGGCTCTGTGCTTGAGGCTTTAGCCCTTGTCTGAACCTCTCGACCCTAACCATGGCCCTAATCCCCGCTCATGAAGCCCCGAAGACAAAGATCTCCACTGGGTGACAGTTGCCACGTTCACGGCAGTTGTACCGCCTTGTGCCGCATGGCCAGCGCAGAGGACTGAAGCTGCGGCGCTTGTTCCCATGGCAACGCCGACGGTTCTTGTGTTGACCGCTCCTTCAGAGAGGAGTTCAATCAAGAGATTAATGTGGGCAAGGCAGCGTAGCCTGGCGTGCACAGTGGTCTTTGCCTGTCGGATCAGCTTCTGGCCAGGTTGCGATTCCGGCACTTTCATCTTTGCTGGATGTGAGGGTTCCCTTTGTACAGCTGGAGGTGTTCCCGCTGCGTCGTTGACTTTTGTTCATGTGCCCCGACGTTACCGCCTTGACAGTCCGAGCGTCTACAGGCTTCGGTGCCGGCTCCTCGGAGCTCTGTGCCGGGCCTTTGCACGTGACCTCCTTCTGAGGTCCTGGCTCTATGGGGCAGTTCAAGCTCTGCAGCAGTGCGCCCTTTCAGAGCGCAAAAGGTAAAGCTTCGGAACGGCACGGAACGGAAAGAGGCAATGCCTGGGGCTGAACTCCCGGCTGGAGCACCTTCAGGCAGCGATAGAGCGTTCATGTCTAGAGTCTAAACACCTAAACGACGCAACGAAGCGTGGTGATGACGAGGAGATGAGCACCCCGAGCCTGCAGGTACGTATGCGATCCCAGATCTAGAAGGGATTGAGTGTGACCTCCATTCTGCACGTGAGGCATCTCCACTGTCTCCGCTGCCTCTGGATGCGGAGGACCCTGGTGAAAAACGAGGGCTCTCTGTTTCCTAAACCTCCATCGTTTGCGAGCTTTGAGCTTGTGCGTATGTAGGACGATAGTAAGCGAGGTGCGCGATTTGGTTTGTCATCAACGCACGCTCTAGCACATCATGTGCTATCATGCAGAGTCTCTCAGCTAAGAAGTTGAATTTTTTGCAGGGGGCCCCTGAATTTGCAGGATGGCCGCATGCAGCTGTGGCAGCACGAGCAGAAACGTGCCGCTGAACAAGCGCAGGTTGAACTGCGTTCGCGTCTCAGCACGGGAGCTGATTGCGACGTGCAACGTGAGACTGAAAATTGGACAAGGCTTCCAAGCCCTCTCTGCATCTGTGGAGAGCAGGCTACAGCACGCTGATCTCGAGGAGCTTCCGCGTTTGTTCACTACATCCTCTGTGTCTAAGCACCTGGCAGGCATTGGAAGGAAAGATGACGCGGAGACTCGACGAGATTTCCCAACACTCCAAGCAGGTCAACGGGTTGCCGGGCGTCTTTCTTCCAGTCTCACCGCGGTTGCCTCTCTTTGTCAGGAGATCTCCTCACTGGCAAGGTTGCTGGAGGGCAGCTTCTCGGCAGACCGCCGGCAGCTTCAGGCGCGATGCGGACAGGAGTGCCAGCAGACAGGACGAGTCTTAGTCTGCCAGGAACAGTTCGAGGCTCTGCGCTGCAAGGCTCCAACATTAAGGGTGTCAAGCGTTCTCCTGCTGTGCACTAGATCCCTAGGCCCTAGGCTTCTGTCGCCTGGTGAGGTAGAGGCCCAGCTCGACGTTTTGTCGGCGTCCGGAGTCCAGAATGCTGTGAAGGCAAGGGCAGACCGTTTTGGGCACGAGAAGCGAACTGCTTGGTGCTCGGCAAGAGGCTCTCCGGCAAGCTCCTCAGGACCCAGCACCTCTGCTGAATGTGCTGCGGCTGTGTAAAGGGGGCGGTTCTGAAATTGAATCTTTGAGAGGAGCCGCCTGTGCCACATGCTGTTCTTTCACGTGAAATGCTTCAACCTTAAAGTTGAGAGCTTTCGACACTGGACACTCTGATGCTTTCTTTTTCTGGAGGCCCGAGGAAACCACATTCGGCCCCGAGAGGTGGCATGTTTGTCTGTGTTGAGGTTGGCTTTAGTGTCACCGGCCGGATCGCTGTCCAAAAATGGAGCTGAGAAGATCGAAGACTAGGTATGCAAACTGGAAGTCATGGCAAGGCCATGCGTAAAAGCTAGGATCGGAGCTTCGGCTTTCATCTTCAAGCCTCTTTGAGCATGTCGAAACCAGAGCCCAGGCCTGTCAGGAGTCCAGTCCGTTCGCAAGCCGCGATGACCTGTGCGAATTGGAAACCAAACTCCACGCCAGTGGAAGCCATGTCCTCGCAAGCCCTACCACCCAGCCAGCCGGGCCCAGGCCCTCGGGCACAAACGATCCTCCAGTTGCACCTCCAAGAGCTCGATCTGTACGTCGATATCGATCGATCTGTCTACTTGTCTGCCTATCTGTCTGTCTATCTGTCTATCTATCTATCTACCTACCTATCTATCTATCTATCTACCTACCTATCTATCTATCTATCTATCTACATATACACACATACACATATATATATATATATATGTATACACATCCATGCATTGCCTCGCGGAGGACCTCCGGCGCCGCCTTGGCGGAGCAGTCGCTGCAGTGCCTCCCTCGGTCGGGACATTTCGGGGGGGGGGGGTGCCGATCGTTCTTGGCGGATCTTGGCGGCGCCTGGCGGCAGGTCCCGCCTCGAGCAACTGGAGCAGAGCCTCCAGCGGCTCTCGCAGCGGGGAGCCCCGCGAGCAGAGGAAACTTCAAGCGCCTGCCTCAGTCGTTTCAGAAAGAGCTCACAGCATGGTGCGATCGGAGATATTTCGAGGTTCCGTGCCCGGCATGGACGGCTGCGGCCTCGGTGTGAGTGAGGGTGCCGGTTCAGCTTGGAACTTAACAAGGCGATGCCGTCTGGCAGCGGTTCACTGACGTGGACCAGGTGGGGGAACTAAAACAAATCTCCTGCTCGCGCTTCGTCTGTTTGTCTGCCTCGCCCGACGAAGGCCCACATCATGACCGTCCAAAGAATATCAGAGGTGTGTGTGTGTGTGTGTGCGCGTGTGTTTTCAGCTTTCTTTGCTGAATGGTTAACTTGAGCGAATGTCGCAGATGGAAACACGCCTCGCCCGTGTTGAGAGCAAAGGCCCAGGCTGGTTTGCTGAGTCGACCAGCGAAGCCTGCAAATGCTTGCAGCGCAACGAGGCCGTCGCCAACGAGATGGAAGCGGAAAACTGGCACAGGCAACTCTCTCAAGGTGGGTAGACCTTGCGTGTCCAAAGCTGTTCGTCGCTAAGGCAGGTGACTGGGAGGCCCGGCAACCGACAGCGAAGTTCCGCCAGAGTCCGAGTCGCCAATCGAAGTGCAGGTGCCGATGTCCGAGCTTCAGTCCAGCCATGCTTCCTTGGCAGAGGCCGGGGGGCTGAAAGGGCTGAGAGGTTTAGCCCACGTCCTTTGAAGTGGAGAATAGTGTAGGCTGTCCGCACGAGGAAGTGGCAGCCCATGTCCTTCCAGCAGTCTCCACACTGTGCGGTGCTCACAGTCGGGAGGTTCGTACTCAGTATAGGCACCATATGAAGAGGCGTTCGACTCTCACGCAGATAACGAAGTACATTTCCGGCGACGCACCGGAGGAGGACGGACGCTTGCCTCACTGGAGAAGGTAGGCGAATTCCTCCGTTCAGGACATGGCCACTTCCATGAAATCTGTGAATGCCTTGGACTGGCTGCAGCAGCGTGGGGTCCCGAGAGACTCCAGCGAAAGGACAGGCTTGAGCGCAAAGTGGAAAAGGCGTGGGAGCTCTGACGAAGGAGAAGGGGCTCACTTTGGAGGCTGGGCCAGGGCCGGGCTGTGGCAGCGACGTGGAGCGGTGGAGCGAATCTGCGATCGCTGCAAGGCCCGGCTTCAACTCCTCGAGCAAGCGACGGGCAGCACAGAGGCGCCTCCCACATCACCAAACTAGGTCCCGAGGTTTGAGCCATCACGGAATGTCGTGTTTTCTGCTTTTGCAGATCTTCCAGAAAGTCCAGAACCTCGAGCAGATCTTGGGCAGGCTCGATGTGGACGCCGTCAATGAGGCCAGAAGCATGTCGAGATCGAGTATGCACTGAGCAGCAGCGAAACTAAAATGCATGAAAAGGTTCCTCCACAGCTGATCATCGTCAAAGAAGATCAGGCGCTCGAATGGCATTCAGAATGGAGCATGAGTGTGATGATCGGCTCTTGCTTGCTTTATGTCACAGTTGAGATCCATGTTGCTCTAGATGTTTGTCCCAGGAAGTCTTCAAGCAGGACCTGCGGCGCGAGGTGTGCCGTGCTTTCTGTGACATCATTTGATGCAGAGCAGCGGAATGCCAGGTGCAGGAGCTGAAGGTGCTGGTCGGTTGCATGGAGGCTCCTTGCCCAAGCTGGCCTTCGACGGTCACAAAAGACTCTGAGAAGGCATGCGTGCCGAAAGAAGCACGAAAAGCGATCCAGCTGTTCAAGAGGGGCGCTGGCGTCTCAGATGAGGCAAAGGATATGTTGCTTTGCCGTCTACGTCTTCAACTTGTAAAATACGTGCAGGAGTTCATCACCGCCGGTGGCCTGAAGCTTTATGCAGATGTGGAAGCTCTGCGAGAGGCAGGCGTTGGAGAAGCGTCTTCTTTAGCTTTGCCCGAGATGACCTCGGGCGGCTTCTTGCAGGGAGTTGATTGGCTTTGGTGGCTTTGTCAGCTTTGCTCGATTCGAGCTGCTCTTCTTGATCTGGTGGCATGCACCCGCAGCGCCGAGTGACGAGTTCCGCTCAGCCCAGAGGTTATTACTCATTTATTACTCTTGCAAATCCCCAGAAGTGGGAAACATCCCTCGCACGCAGGTACGGCCACCTGAGGCAGAAACAGCTTGAGAACCTACCCCTCGTGAACCATTTCCTCAACCATTCGTCCATCGCGTCCTACCATCCAGTACCCGTGCAAGCCAGATGCACTGACATTTTGTGGTCTGACATTGGGCCAGGAGTTGCAGGTGCGCCTGGCGGATTTGGAGACCAACTCCGTCGCCGTCTCGGCGAATCTCTGAGAACGTGAAGGGCACAGTTTCACTTATGCAAGCGGCCCTCTGAGGCCCAGCAGCACGACAGCTTGAACTCCATGGTTCAGGACCTGGAGACGAAACAGGCAGCGCCAGTGATGCCAGAGCTGTGGGGGGGTTTGTGGTGCTTTGCGCAAAGAGCACAGGAGAGGCTTTCCAGCGCATTCCGAAAGCGCTTCGCCAGCGACGATGCCACTTAACACCTCTTTACTTCCGTGAAGGGCAAGTCGAGCTTGCTGAGATGTCCACGGAACCAAGGCGGCGAGTGGCCTGGACGGGTTTGTGGCACCCCAGGGTTGGACGCATCCGCCACCATCAGCTTGATCTCGTGTCAGAGAGCTTTGGGATCAGGGGCTCTGCCAGAGGCCAAAGCGTGTGCCCTGGGACGTTTCACCAAGTGTTTCACCTGCTTGTCGACAAGACCGTCCGATGGAAGAAAGCGCGCGTTTCGCTCGCTGACTGAAGACAGGGAGGACAGGGACCCAACAATTCCTCGCCGAACGACGCGAGGGTTTTCCTTGGGGCTCCACTTTGCTCCCTCACTCGAATCACTCGAAGTTTCAGACCGCTTTCTGCTCTTTGGCAGCCTTAAGGCCGGGTCGGGGCCATTGTCGGCTTCAGCAGGCACCCGTCCACGAAGCGAAGATGGGAGTACTCACAAGCTTTAAGTCGAATGGAGTCGCGGTCTTCAGATAGTTTCGCAATGCTTGGCGACCATGTTACATACCATTTTGAAGTGTTGCAAGCGCCGTGCGCAATACTCGCAGCACGGAACTTCAAGAACAATCTCTGGTGAGACTGGGCAGTTGGGGGGCCTTTCGATGTGCTGATGGCGCCATCTGCCTTCGAAGAGCTCTGCCGTGAGCGAGATGTAGCTCGGACCAACTCCGGTTGTGACAGAAGAAGGGTCCAGAGCTGATTCAGATTTCAGGTCAAGCCCGAGGCGGCGCTCTTGATCGGCGTTCAGGGCCTGCCTGGCCCAAAGTGCGCGATCACCCTGCTTCGATGCAGGAGTGGCGGGCCAAACTCGCCACACCGATCATTGCAGACAAAAGCTTGCAAGAGATGACCGACAGCGAGATCGAAGATTACAACCGAAAAGTGCAAGAGCCTTTGATGCACCCACGTGACTGATTGAAAACCTCGTCCTCGACCGCAACTAACACGGATGGGTCCGGTGTACTGACACTCTGTACAGACCTATGTCCCGAACGGAAAGAGGAGAGTTCGGTCGCCTTCTGTGTGGGTGGCTTGTTTGCCCGCTGTGGTTTGTGAGAGTGACAGATTTGCTGCGCCATGCACTGGTAGCTCTGTGACTCCATCCTGCTTGGTGTTTCATTGTGAGGGCGGCTACAGGGCCTTGGCCAGCTTACCTTCGGTGCAGTTTCTCGCTTGGCACACCATCTCAAAGGTGTCTAGACTGGTCCGAGCAATCGCACAACACAACTTCGCAAGCTGAGGAGAGGGCGCAGGAAGTCAGAAAGGACCGTGCCCTCTTAGCGCTGGAGAAAGCGCAGGAGAAGATGCAATAGAGTTGCATTGTAGTGTAGCATTCCTGTCACCATTGAGACTGCATGGTCTGCGGTCACGGCAGGACGGAAGACTCGAGCGGAAAGCGACCAAGGACAGATTTTGCAGGATATCAACAGCTACAGTCACAGCTCTCTGTCAGCGAGCATTATTCCTCCGCGCGCATCCGGCAGGTCTGGAACCAGCACGCGAAGGAGAGAGTCAAGATTCCAGCCGAGCAGGTCCCGCAAAGTCCCGCATGTCCCACGAACCAGCAGAGGGGCCTAGGACGGGGTTCCAGAATCGGAGCTAGGTCCAAGAGCACCGGTCCTTTGGAGGTACCCGAGATGCTGGAGTCTCTCAGCTTCGAAGTTTCGAACAACGAGGCTGGGGGGTGGAGAGATCCGTGAATTTTGGGGGGGCCTGCCACATATGCCACTTTTTGACAGATGCACTTCCTGCTGGGCATCTTCGGAGCGACTCAGGTGTGCGTAGCCGCGGCGTAGCTCCGATGAGCTCTCCGTCTCTTTGGGAAGCTTTTGTGACAGCGCTACTTTTGCAAGGGCTCGGACATTGACCTGGAGCACGAGCTGACTCAAAACGACTGGTGGGCCAACGCAGTTTGGATTCCGAGTGTTGTTTTTGACACTGGGCATCTGCGAGACTCTCAGGCACTGGCTGGTTGGGGAATGTCAGATCCTCAAGGACCAGTTTCGCTTTCTCGTGCACAATAGCCTTTCCATCAGATGGCACATACATTTCGTGTTAAGCGTGCTCAGAGCGTGCCCACATCCACATGCGCGAGGAATCTTACAAGTTCTTCTTCCGCAGAGAGGCCTGCCGTTCACTTTGTGGATTTTGTGGGCCCAGATGGTGCTTCAGCCAGTCAGCATGCCCTGCGAGTGCTCCACTGCTTGCAGGAATGGGAAGTTCAGTACACGGATCAGCTTCAGAAGTTGACTCTCAAGGCGGGTGGCGGTTTGGCTGTGAAACTGAAGTGCACCCGCAGCACGAGGATCTTTGGACAACGAAGGGACGTTCCAATCAAGGTGCTGTGCGACAGCATGTTTTCCAGCAGCTTGGCCACAGGTTCGTTAGGTTCCTGTTCGCAGGAGCGCACAAGATCGGGTGGTGGTGGACTACAGGAGAAAAGGCTGGTGCTACTGCACGCTTCACAAAGAGTTTCAGTAGCATTCTCAGCTGTGAGAAGGCCGGCCAGGCCAGCGTCCTGCAAAAGTTCGTGGCGACCTGAGCAAAACCGGGCTTTCAGAGTCACAGCGCTCCGATGCACACTGCTAACAGGCCTGGGGCGCACAGTCTGGCACCGAGTCTTCGGCTTCAGACACGGGAAATCGCGATTCTCTGACTTCGAGGCCGGAGGTGGAAGAGGAGTTGCTTGGAAAGATGGAGCTCGTCATCGGGCCTCGGTTGAAGGCGATCAGCTCAGCTCGGCATCCAGCCATCCTTCACTATCCTTGCTTCAGGATGCAGATGGCAAGCAGTCGATGGAGTAGCAGTGATCCTGCACACTCCCGCTTCCACGCTTCCACGCAGAAAAAACTTGCAACAACCCGGATTGATTCAAGCACTCAACACCCACGGATTCACACTGCTCCAAGATGCATGCCGAAGGCAAGTGACTCGCCTCATGACGATGATGGAGCATTGACTAGTTTTGCATGTATATGTTGAGCACTGGTACATGTAGTTCAGACATATTCAGACGGCGCACGAGAGAAGTGATCCGCGTCAAGGTTCACACGGAAACCTATGCAAAGCCTTGATTCAAGCTGCAACATCGGCCCTGCCGCACTTCCACTCATGCAGCTGCATGTGACGACAGTAATTACCTTGCTGGGACCTCGGAAGATGCCAGCGGGACACGCCCGGAAGGATGATGTACTGAGGCAAACAGCCTTGCTGGTCTTCCTACAGTTCGGGGAGAAGGCGCCGCCCTGGGGTTCGGGTTTGGGCCGGGGAGGGGCCGAGACACGACGGAGAACCGGAGGCCTTGCCCTCGCTCTTCGCGGCCCGCAAGGCCGGGGAGCCGGGGGCACGTTTCCGGTCGCCTTTTCCGGCATTTCCGGCAAGGCCTGCCATGCCGGCAGCGGCGCGCTGATGCTTTTCTTGGACTCACGAGATCCCTTGGCAAGAGCCTACGTCTACCTTGTCGTGGTCACTTCCTTGACCATGACCTGGCGGCTGGTCAAGTGGGCCCGAGCCTCGGCCATTTTTCGGCACGGCCTTGCTGGGCCTGACACCACCAGGATACAAAATGCAACTGAGAGCCACAGTCTTTCTTGATCTGCAGAGACACATATCGAGTTTTCATCCACACGAGCGGCAGCATCTCCACAGCGACTCCTGACAGGGCCGAGCCCCCCAATGCATGCGTTCCTGATTGTCCGTTTCTAAGACTCAGGTTCCAGCTTTTCGTTTTGGTGCAGATTATGACGTAGGCCCGAGATGACAGACAAGAGAGCTGTCTGTCAGATGCCCTGAGCCATCGCAATCGTGGCTAACTATCAGCATGCAGTGGCAATCGGGGTGCTGTTTTCGGACCACATTCATATTTTCGCCATGACTGTATATATGTCATCGCGTTTGCTGATGCACTTGGCTGCACAAGGGCAGAACCATTTCGATTGTACACCGTAAGCGTGGTGAGTGTCCAGGTCATGAGTAGTGAGTACATCTCTTTTGAGAGGGTGGCCTATTCATCTGTCCGATCTTCGCGCAGCATGGAAGCTAATCGAAGCATGTACCTGAAAGGCATTTCCGTGTACTTGCTAATCGTAGCGGCTTGGCAGCTCCCTCGGCTCGGGTGTGGTAGTGGCATCAGTGACGGTCCCTTCGCAGAGGTTCCACATGCAGGAGCCAGTCCGAGCTTTGGCCCCTCTGTTTTTCGCAGATCCCGTGTTGCCCTCAGCCTCACCAGCTCGAAGGCCTCGTCGGGTGCGGGCCAATGTGGCGCCCGTGACTCAGGCTGGGGCGATCGTCGGCAAGTTCTGCTCCAAACGAGGCCCGCCACAGATGCACCAGAACCCAACATCCCGAAAGCCTGCGGGAGGTTTTAATCGAGCGTGGTACGAGAACAAGACCATTATGGGGAGCGACTGCACTCGTTGGGGATCAGCCTGTTCAGCCTTGCAATAGCGGCATTTCGAAGTCCTGGAAGTCCTCCAGTTCCAGGACTCTTGCGGTCCTGGTCGTGGCTTACTTGAGGCGAGTCGGCGAGTTTTTTTTTTTTTTCCCTGCTTTCGGGCTTGAAGCTCTGCTCTCGCACTCTCGCAGTCTGGATGCGCCAGTCTTCCTCCCGCGGGTCTTGGGCTTGGTGAAACGCAGGACCGGTTCTAATGTCCCTCCGAGCAAGCATCTGAGGCCATACTCGCAGTGCTGTGTGCGCTGGCCGAGGCGTTTGGTGGCTTGGCACTCAGAGCATCGGTCACGTATCCTTTGACCCGGATGTTCTGGAGATTTTGGGCGGAGATGAATCTTGAGAGAGTTGTTTGGGGTTGTGTGTTGACGTTTCCGCCGAAGGTGATCCCCGGCTCTGAGCCTTGAATGTATAGCATGTCAGAATCGTGCCCGGCTCACAGTACAAAACGACGAGAACCTGCAAGCACCGAAGAAAATCTCGCAGGCCACCTTAGAGTTTCATGTCTACACAACCCTTTAAAATTCATTCATTGACATGGGAAACTGCGGATGTGTGCTGGATGTGGCAGCTGAAGCTGAAGTGATTGCAACTCCAAAGACAGAGCTAAAGGTGGCGCTGGAAGATGGTGTTCACTCACAATCTTCGCAATCTGATGTAAACGACGATGCCGAAACTTCTGCAGGAGGTTCTGATGGAACTGCATCTGCGCACGGCTCTTGTGAAATCCTGGAGCCCATGCCAACCTTACTTTTGTCGTCGAGTATCGATTCGCCCCGCAGCCTGGCAACCGCCAGAAGCGCTTCCACCGATTTTAATGGAACGTGGATTTGCTCGCGGGTCGAAGGGGCCTGGGAAGATTTTCTGCGCGAACGCGGGACTCCATGGGCAATGCGCAAAGTTGCCAAAGGCCTAGACTATGGAGTGGGCAAGCAGATGCAGACGATCGTCCAGCGTGGCGACGAGTTAGAGATCGTCAACTACACTGCCACATGTCCTCCGAGGGAGGATAAGTGCACCATCAAAGCAGATGGCTCAGAGCATGAAGTTTTTGATCCAGATGGGCTGCATTACATGCAGAGGACCCAGTGGGATGGCAAAGTCTTAAGGTCCGAGCAGGTCAACTGTGAGGGACAGCCACCCGTGATCCTGCAGCGATTCATGCAAGGTCATGAGATGTGTACAGAACGGATGACAGCCCATGGTGTGGTCGTCCGTCGATTCTATCGTCGCATTTAAGGCAGGGTTCGGATCCGGACCTTAAATTCAAGCATGGAATTCGCGTCCCTTGGGAGACTTGCCAGTTTTTCGGGGGAGGATGTGAAGCCTGGCGCGGGATCGCCAACCCGTGCAAGGAAGCTTGCCCCACCCTGCGCATTTTCCGGAAAATCCGGCTGCTTGCCACGACCGGAGGCCGTGTCTGCCGTCTAACCAAGCTCAGATCAGAGTTCTTTCTACTCGCAAAGAACTTGGTTTTCCATCCGGCACCCAGGCAAGACATTTGACAATGCCATCATTGCGATCCCTGTGGGCGCCCAAGCAATCGTTGCCGGTTTCTGCGATTCTCCGGCTTGCAATAGGAATGTGTTCAGAATGCTATGGTTGAAACAGTGTAAGTGCAAAACCTTGCGAGGTCTTGGGTGGCTGGGCCTGTCCTGCATGTCAGACCTTGACACGTTTCTGTCTTGATGCGCGATCCCGAAGCAATGACAGGCCTACTACCACTGGTGAAGTGGATTTTCGGCCGCTTTTCTCATTCTGCTGGGTCGCCCAAGCCCTGCGGATGCAACTGCTGTCAAAAAGCCTGTGCTGGCTGGCACGTCTGGAGCTCGATAATGTTTCACTGCTCGGATGACTTGACCTGTCATTCGCGGAGCCCAGCCACAATGATTCAGAAGCCTGTGCACACGATGCCGACATCCAACCTGTCCAAGATTTGTAGATTCCCAGTTTCTGCTCATAGCTACCATCGGAGGGAACATAGTTCTTCCATCGGCACCTCCTTATTCATGTTTGGAGGGATTGTTGTCGCCCACTTCGCCGGCCATGGCTGCTGTGACTCTACAAGTCCCCAGTCTGCCGAAGGTGACCCCAGAGGTTTTCATGAGGAGGCACGCAAGCCCGCTGCTGCACACTGTGAGGAGCAAGCATCATGTGCAGAGGAGGTGCCGTCTTCGTGCAAGGATGTTGTCAAACTCTATTGTATGACACCTGCGTGCGCAACTGAGGACGAGTTGGACCTCCGATGGCTTGAGGCACGGAGTCGTCATGCGGAAAGGGTAGCCGCCGTGCCAAGCTTCGATGAGGACAGGCTGTCTTGGGCTGCACGGCTTGGTGAGACGGCTCAGAACTGAGAGCTACGGAGCACGAAACGTGGGGTTGTGCAGCATCGTCCTTCATGAGTGCTATCAGCTGCTGGAGTGGGCGGGGCCACAGACGGCCTGCATCATGAGCATCATCCTGTATCGACTCTGTTTTCACTTCCGAAGCCTGCCTAGACCTCAAAATTTAGACATTGCGCTTCAACCCCAGCGCCTTGCCCCACAATGGACCGACAACGGTGCAAATGATGCTCATGAAGCTGGCCCAGAATGCAGCGCGGAAGCCTAAGCTTCTGGCTAAGGGTCCCGTGCATATGCCGCTGACCCGGTGGTCGCTGACCCCCGTAATCCCGTGATCATGAAGGATTGGGGGGCTCCGGCGCCAGGGTTCTCAAGGTCAGCATGTGCATCAGCAGCGCCTGCGCCAATCCCGAACAAAGATGACATCAAGAGGCTTTCAGACCAAAAAGCAGTCCGGATAATCCTCATGATGGCGGCTTCAAGGGGCTTCAAGGGTCGCTGGGTTTCCAACAGTCACTGCGACTTGTTTACGCGTCCAGAAATCGTGCTCCTGCCACAGTCCTGTGCACATTTGGGCTGGAAGCCTCTTCCCGCCACAAGGCCGGGCATAGCTTGTAGCAGTGCTACACACTATTGCAAGAACGGTCGTACAATGTCATACACGTGCCCTTACAGACAACAACGAACCTAAAGCACAACCCGGCACAGTCTTTTCGTGGCTGCTTGGTGGCTACCATTTGTGAAAATCTGCCAAGCCGCTGGACGGCATCGCCGGTCATGCAAGGGCCAACGCGTTGATCGGGTAAATTCAAGCTGTGTGCGAGCCTTGGGCCCCCGTCGCTTGGTGACGAAGGCAGTATGCAGGGTCGCTGCAGTGGCGGTGGGGGGGGTGGGGGGAGGTGGGCCTGCGGGGGTCCGCAAAGAAAGTTTTGCAGTGGCCTGGCTGTGGCGATGACTTGATTCCGCATGTGTGAGTCTAAGGCCCAGGCATTGCGCCGCCTGCCCAGTGCAGACATCTGTGTGAGGGAGCTGGTTTTGCTCTTGCACCAGTGCATCCAATGCCACGAAGCCTCCAAACCTTCGTCCCCCAATGCTTTGTCGCTGCTGAGGCGATTCTCGCGAGCGCAGCGAGCGCAGCGAGAGCGAGCAAGGCCGGACCCCAGCTTTCACTTCTGTACCCGTTTTCGGTTGAGCATGGTTGAGCTTTGCTAAGGCGAACGCTGGCTTGAAGAGTTCGCTGAGCTCCGATGTGAATTCAGGTAGGACAGCAGTGTCTATGTGATGGAAGCGGGAATGGGGAAGATGAATGATGACTGAAAAGCGTGCTTGCATGAGGCGGCGATCCAGGAGGTTGGAGAAGCTGGAAAACAAAATGTGCAGATCCCGGAATGCATGTTGCGATTGCTTCTGAACAAGTTCCAGTTACTTCCAGTTGATGGGATGACCTCGTCGGACTGAAGGATGTTCCGGTACGAGCATCCGTGGTTCCACCATGTTCTCAGAACCTCACTAACAGTCACTAACACAACTGCTTGATTGTAGTGGCATTAAATCAAAGCGTGACAAGCCTGGCCATTTCTGTCCGATGCAAGCAAGGCATGCAGTGACATCCAGTTGTATCGAGGCCGAAAGCTCAGCAGAGCGCATTCCCTAGAGCCCTAGAGCCAAGAAGAGTCCAAGGCCCAGCACCACTTGGCTAGCCTGACCCGGGAGCGTGACTTGTTGATGGATTGCCTGTATCTGAGCCTTGCTCACTCCTGCAACTCGTGACTCACTCGAGTCCAAGGCGTTCAGGAGCTGCTGTTGCTGACCGCCTCGGACATGCAGGACGGACGGAGATGGCCTGAGATGGGCTCTGCTTCAAGCAGGGGATCTGCGCAGGATCCCGCCCAGCGGCAATGTGCCCCTTCGAAGGCGAGGGCCGGAGACTCAGCACGATGGTTTTTCAGAGTACAAGAACTCATCGGAGAGTGCAGGAAGCATGGCAAAGCAAAGGCAAGCGATGTTGCACATGTAGTGATGGCTGTTCCGGCAGCTGTGCGAATTTGAAAAGCCTCTTGTTTGGAACAGACGGCGACATATCCGAGCCGGTGGCCAAAGATGTCATGCCCTTGGATGAAAGACGAGAGCTTCCACATTGACAGCTTTGGAGTTTAGAAAGCGAAATGTCTTCAGAAACAGGTTGCCGCCGGAGGAGCCACACAGCACGGACTGAGTGAGAGCACAGCTGAGGGGACAGCTTTGCCAGGAGCTCGGGCAACACCCCGCTCTGTGAGGCATCAGAAAATGCTGTTGTCGGACAAAGTGTGCCTGGCACGATCAGTGGCAGGAACAGTGTGTCTCCACGTGTGCACTTCTCAGCCTGGCTTGCTGTTCAGTCTGCTCTGGTTTTCTTTGCTTCGCCCAGGACCTTCTGAAGGCTCCGGAAGGTGCTCGCAGAGTGCGCTTTGATGACAAACTCCAGGATCTCGAAAAGACCCGAGCACAAGAGAAGGAACAGCTGGGAGACGTACATGGCCATCAGGAGTCGCCAAGATTTCCGCGACAGCCTCCTGACAGGCACTGCCGCAACAAGGAAGACTGTCCTGATGAATGTCGGTCCTACACACCGCAAGAAGTTGCAGGCACAGCGCTTCATTGCTTTGGCCTTGGAGTGCTCTCCATGAGACACCACTCATTCTACGGCGTCCTACAGTGCCTACGGTGTTCAAGGCGTAATCCTATCCTGAAGCATCGTCCGACCTCGGCTGCCGGACTTCCACGCCATGACACTGACGTGCAGGTACGGACACCAGCAGAGACTGTCTCTGTGTGCTTGTCGCCACCATTTTCGTGTGTGTAATGCATCGTCAGATGAGGCGGGCGGTGCCTCTGCTGTTGACGCAAGGACGTGGCATCTGAGTTGATTAAGCACAGTTCTCGGCGTGGTGCTGTTGCCGTGGCTGTCAGGACTTCCGATGTTGAGCCGGATGCAGCATGTGCAGACGAAGAAGCTCAGGCATCAGAGAGCTAAAATCTGAACGAGCCAATGTGCAAGCCCTGCATTTGCCAGGCCGTCGTGCAACAAGGAGGCTCTGATGAATCTGAGTCAGATCCACAGATAAGTTTCCCCATTGCTAGATGCAGTGTTGACTGCGCCACATGAGGCTTCGACGGGGTGCCGAGGCAAAGGAGGGTCGAAGTGAGTCCCTCAACACCACGGCCTAACTACCGAGAAGACTTTTCAGGTTCAGGAGCCGCTGGTGATGGCACCACATGTCTGCGCCGGTCAAGTGCAGCGTGTGGTCCTGCAAGAGGCTCAGTCATCCTCTGCAAGCGTGAGTGTGTGTGTGTGTGTAGATCCGTGTATCTAGCTATCTATCCATCCATTTATCCGTCCGTCTATCCACCCGTCTATCCAAACAGATATGGACCTGATATGGATGTAATTAGACATGCGATGCGTATGCATATGCGGGCAATATGGGCATGCATGCCGGTTCCAGAGGCGTGTTTGTGTTGCGATCCTGTCGCCCGAATTCAGATCTGCTGGAGCCGTGTAGAGTTGCGTGCTGCAGGTAGGTTGCTTGTATGTCTGGAGACTCTCCTGGTATCTTCGGTCTCCTGGTGTCTTGCAGTGATGAGTCGAGGCAGTCGCCGCCGTGGCAGCCTGGGCAACCTGGGCAGCTCGTCCGCTGGCGTCTGTTTGCTGTCTCGTGGCTCTCCTGGACGCCTCATGAGTGCAGCGAGGCCCCAGCGTATGTTGGCAGCCCAAGCACGGGCTGCTGGAGGTGCGGCGACCGGCACCGGGGTCGTGCAAGCAGCGACAAGCCTTGCAAGGTGCTGTTTGCAACCATCCAGGCACAGTGCACGGAGGTTCAGCGCCCATCTGTACAGAGCGACAGAGTGATCTGAGAGGCTGCCCTGGGCAAGTCCGCTGGGGTGAAGGACCCCTGAACTCGGTGCTTGCCCCACAGGCATCGAATCAGTCGCTTTCCAAACAGGAGCACCCTTCGCTCGTGTGCCTGCATGGTGCCCAGTGCGTGCTCAATGATAACTATGTCCAGCCTTGCAGTGAGGTTGGGCCAGTGCCGCACAGGATTGCTTCCAGCCCTTTGGGATGCATGTCGTAGTATTCGACAGCTTTGTGGCATTGCCGCTTTGGGCAGTGCAAACCGAGCTGCGACCAGTCTGATCCAGATGAGACGAATAGTTTCTTTGGCTCGGGCTGAAGGCGAGCTCCGCAGCTGATCACTGACTGGCAAAACAGATACAAAAAGATTTTCGCTTCTTTGTCAGCTCTTCGGAGATCGGGCCTGGGCTGGGAGACCTCGAGTTTCCCATTCGTGGAAACATGCCCCTCCATGAATTCACGGGTGCAGGCAATCCGGTGCTCGTTGAAACTTCGTTCAATCTGTGGCCCGGCAATGGTAATGTCTTCCCTTCAGACAGGGGATTCGACTTGAGAGGCGAAGCCCGCCGTTGTCGCCGACCTCGCAAGTGTGGTTTGGAGAACACGCGTCTACAGTACTGGCCGTGAATCGTGATGTGTTCGGGTCCTGGAAAAGGATTTGTTTAGCAGCATGGTTAATGAGCGATGTGTGAACCTCTCGGCTGAATCGGAGCATTCATTAATTAAACAGTTGAGCTGCGTGAACAAACATCCACTTCTGGACCTCAGCCAAGAACGACATGTCAACAACACACTCATGATTCTTCCAGTTGGATGCGGCATACAACCATTCAAGCAGATTGTCCAATGCTTTTGGAAACATGTGCTACACATCGGTCCGTGATTCGGCATTTGGGCCCTGCTGCTGCAGGACAGTTGAATGTCTCACAGGTGGAAAGCCGCACTTGAGGGCATGAAGGGTCTCTGCAGGCTTCCGACCTTGCAGTGCCTTGTCATGACCTTCATGGTCATGTGAGCCAGTGTCCGCACTACAAGGCTGCCGCTACGTGATATTTGGCAGATTCCCAGTGCATATTCCCAGTTGCAAGAATGTCCACCGGCTGCACAAGCCCAGGATTTGTTTGCTGCATTTCTGGAACACGACAATAACGATAGGAAATCAGTGCTTTGTGGGGTGTGACAGGCACAATGCCAAGCCCGTGCTTGCCTGAGAGAGTCACCGCTGAAACTGTGCCATCAGCTTTGCAGCCGTCTGTCATGTGGCACGACCCCAAGGAGGTGTGTTGATTCGGAGGCGCTGCATGAGGCAACAACTTGCACCTGTGCTGGGTGCAAAGTCTTCGCAGCATTCAGTTGCACTCAAGGATCCGGAATGGGCAGCTCCAATTGCCAGAGATCTTCCGAAGGTGGCATGCCTTGTGATGCCTCATGGTCTCTGTCTAAGCTTCTTCGCGGCGACCTACTTCGCAAGGCAGACCTCACATTATTTTGAACAACACATCAAAGCTTGCAGTCCACAGTAATTAGTAAGGTGCTTCTAACAGGTGCCGTAATGTGTCGCTTTAGAAATTTTCACCATCCGTGGAGTCGCAATGAGCCATGCGCTGTGCGAATCCTCCCGTGCGTGCGACCGCAAGAACGTGGGCCTTTGGGTCTCCACGAACACCTTCGCCACCCGTTCCGATTCCTTCCATGTGTGAGACTGGGAGCCGGCGCTGGAAGCGTTGTTTGCCGCTGGTGGCCCTAGGAGGAGGGTGATCGTGAGACCCGCTTTGGCCTTGTCAGATGCTTTGTGTGGCTCTGCTGTAACAGGAGTGCAGACAAAGCGGGGCCGAAGGCAGCAGAGCGCAGAGATCAGGCATCCTGCGAATCTTGAGGATGAGGAGGCCTTGAGGTGTCTCTACCTTGTTTGCGTGCTCTCTGCAGACATGTGCAGGCCAGCTTTGCAGGGAGAGGACAGGAGAGGTGCAGCTGAGGCAGCTGTTCCAGTCTGCGGCGGCTGGAAGCAATGGCCTGCGCAAAAAGGAGTTTGCGGTCCTATGCCAGTCTCTCCTGCACATCGACCTCGAGTATCGCGAGTTGGAGCGCATCTTCGAGCTGGTGGTGACCTCTGCCCCTTGGCTGGAAGGTAAGTTGCGGAGACTTCCCGGGTGTTAAAGCACTGTGTCACTACAATGTGTTGAGGAAGGGCGGCAAGTCATGACGGAAGATCACTTCGTGAAGACAGTTCAGCGGCGTTTCTTCTTGCGGGGCATTCGACGGGTGGTGCAGCTTCCGGACGCGCAGCACCCGTCACTACCCAGAAATTTCAGCCTGGACATGGACACGGCAGCGAACCACCGATCCGACCCATGCTTCAAACGCAGCAAAGCTGTTGAAGGCTCGCAGGTCATCGCAGCATGTAATTTTGTGCCGGTTCCGTTCAGCATCTCGTAAGGACTCGGATCCATTCGTTGGTCCTTACGCGAAGATACGAGACGCTTGGACCTTCCATGAGCATTTTCTGTATTTTGCACGATTTTGGCCGACCTCTTGGGTCTATGTAAGGAGACCAGGGATCACGTGTACCACGGGCGCTACACGGTTGAGCGCCAGAATTGGCAAGACAGTGTCATAGACACAGTTGTGCAAAGGACCGTGGAACAGGCACGCCCCAGGATGGTTTTCACCTGTGGTGCAATGGGTGTCGGTAAAGGCTATGCGTTGGCCTGGATGTCCCAGAAAGGTATATTCCCTTTGGAAGACATCGTACACATTGATCCGGATCACTTCAAGCAGGTGATGCCTGAGTGGTCGGCATTTCTTGAGTATGGACGCGAGCGAGGGGATCCTGACATACCCGGCAATCGCTGTCATCGCGAGAGCTGCTACATGCAAGAGCTTGCATTGGAGGAGTCCATGCGGCGATCGCAGCACATTTGGGTTGATGGGTCTTTGCGAAACTCGACTCTCAATGTCATGCAGTACATATAGCCATTTTCGACGTTGATTTGCCATGCAGTGTTGCCGACAACCGCCAAGCATGCGAGGCAATGCGGAGTGGTTTGTCAAAGTCTTCAGCGACATTCGCTTGCGCTACCCAGCATATCAGATTGCGATTTTCAAAGTCACGGCGCCGGCCGAATCCTCAGTTTGCGAGTTCGAATACACAGCTGGACATTCAAGGGAAAGACGGCCAGCCTGTTCCCGTTTCTCCCAGGAAGAGGTCATCCGGAAGAGGGTCGCTGAACGCGCCAAGCAGACCGGCCGAAGCATTCCTGAGAGTATGCTGGTGGCAAGCATTGGAGCTGTTGAAAGGCTGGGCCTCTGTGCAAGCCAGAATCGATAGGCAGCTAGGCAGCTCTGAGCTTGCCAGGTCAGTGCTGATGTTGACTCCGCATGCAGACTTCTTGGCCAGCATTGACAACTCGGAATCCACGCCGAAGCTGCAGTACTTCGCAGCAGTTGACCGCTCCGGCGACTGGCAACGCATCGCGACGAGGTTTGCGCATATTCTGCCCGCAACAGATGCATTTCCGAAGAAGCTCTCACCATTTTTCGTTTCGCAACTGGCTTGCTGCCCAAAGTTGCAGCTCCGGGAGCCCCTGAAATGTCGCACCGACGGAGTAAACAGTTGCCAACAGGGCGTTCTGATCATGCGTGGCCTAAAGATCGAAGTGAAGCTGTCCCCGTCAATCCGTGTGACTCTGGACCCCGAGACACGCCGTGTTGCGAACATCCACAAGGACGCTGTGGCGGTGGCGTATCTCCATCCACTATCGCAGGTTTCCGAGGTGGAAATGGCAAAGCTCAGCTACGCCGAGCGGCAGGTTCTCAATTTGGGCGCCTTTGCTAACTTCAACTTGGAAGATCAGCTAGTGGCTGTGAATTCCGTGGCCTCTACGACACAGCAGCGTCAGCCCGCTCTGCTGGAGCCCCAAATGCATGGCTAAACGGGTCCAGGGGGGGACAGTGTTCGAGTATATTCGACTGTTCTTTGGCTGGATAGGATGTTAGAGGGTCTAGGTCTGACATGTTCGGTGCAGGAGTTTGGCTCCGCCTATCCCGTGTCCGAAGAAGAGGCAAAGTCTCTCCCAGACAACAGATGGGCGCCGCTAACGCTTCAGCACATGAGGGAGGCTGGCGGTCAAAGGTTTGCATTCCTCACGCCTCTGGAGAAGTTGGCCAGCCGCCGGGTGAGTGCCAACAGTGGATTCTTATTCGAAATCCTGTCGCAAGGAGAGACATCGTATCTTTTCTTTCCGGTAATATCTTCATTTAGCTAGACTGCTAGGTGCTGACTTCGAAGAACGACATCAGCATTGGTGTGCAGCAAGTATCGTTTCACACAGACGGGGTGCTCGGCGTCGGACAAGAAACAAGTCCCAGGCTGTGTGTTGGGACTGCAGAAGCCTCCAGACACACGAAGACTGCGTCGTCCCTGCAACCGGATTGACTGGCCGAAGGCCACAACACCGTCCTCTACAACGACACTCGACGATGCGAGCGGAGGTGCTTCGAGCTTGAGTAGTGAGAGAGATGTGCAGAGAGTAGACGTTGCTATTCAGTGGATTCAGTGGATTTGGGAAGAGCAGGATAAGGTCTGCCTAATGCCATAGTGCCTTTCCACAGTGCATCGCACAGGCATGGCGTCTCGCTCGCCGTCGTACAAGGTGGACCACATCGGGCGGACCGTCAAGTCTACGAAGCTCCGCCACGCCTGGACGTTGTACCTCTGTGAGGCTGAGGTCAAGGTGGAACTTGAGCACAGCCGGCTGACTGGCAAAAAGAAGGTTCTGGTTGATGGGAAGCTGCTCTTCTCGACCACGGACAAAAACCTGCACTGGTGTTGGGAGCATCCAGTTTCCAAAGCTCGAATCACATTGAACTCGGAGAACGGCAAGCACGTCCTAAGATGTGAGGAGCCCGAGATTGCCAAAGACGCCATAGAAGGAGATTCAGACAGATCCCCAGCTGTGGAGTTTTCCAGCTTTGAGCCCGAGACTTACGTCACAGAGCCTGTGCTAGAAGAGGCTTCAATGCAGGGAGAGGAAGCCGCGGACAATGAACTATTCTCCTCTGGCTATTCGGACAGTCCTGTCAGACAAAATCTTGCAAGCAAGTACGCCACTTGTGAGAACGACATGCAGGACTGGGATGATGTCGCGAGTATTGCGCCAGCAGGTTGATGGCACGAGGTGTTTATGTTGAAGGTACAGACTCGATGGCACTCTGTGAAACGATGACAGGGATCATGCCGTGAGGGAACGGGAACTTTGCGGTTAGTGTAAACTGGGGCTGTGCAGGGGTCCCTTTCGCACTAAACAACGGCAGTGCCCCTGCCTACTTATCCAGGCCACCATGTCGAAGCCGAATCAGAAATGCAGTTCTAGAGCCCCATTGCACGATCGGTCTAGTAGGCTTGAATGTTGTCCACACTCCATTGTTTTCAGGACTACGATGCAGAGATTGCGGAGGAGGCCAAACCCTCGGTTCCGTCCAGCTCTCAGCCTGGTTCTGAACTTTGACTCGCTCGCTGCGCTTCCAGATGGAGGTCGTACCTTGTAACACGCCCTCAGCGTAAAAGTGCTCTTCAGGCTCGATGCTGACAGTATTTCATTGCTTTTGCATGCCCACCTCTGGCTTGGAGCAGTTCCAGGAGATATCGGCAGAGACCGCGCGACTAAATGCCTTGCTCGGTGTTAAGGATGCGCAGATAGCCCGCGACCCTGTTTCGGGTGACCGTTATGGGGCAGTGTGGGCGACATTCGTTTTTTCTCCCAGGCTGCCTTGCAAGATGAGCTGCGGAGATGTGCTGTGGGGAGAGAGGCGTCTCTCCAGCAGGGAGCAGCAGCGAGAGCGAGAAGCGCCGAGAAGCGGGCGAGCAAAACACTGACTTCCTGGTCAGGCCAGCGGACCCATCGAGGCGGTGTCCAGCACCCAGAGATGCGGTGTGGCCTACGTCCAACTTACCATTGGTCGTACTTTTCCCAGAGATGATAGAAAGGCCAACGGTCGAGATGGAGGTCACAGTGCCCGTGCCCATAAGCCCCATTCAGCAGTTGGAGGCCTGCGACCTTGAGCTTCCTTGTCGCAGAAGCACCCTCTGCCCTGCAAACAGGACCCATCGGCATCGCCATCGCCACAGCTGCCACCTCCGCAGCTTGTTGCAAGCGTTGCCTCGGAGCACTTCCTGGCCCGCCGCTTAGGACGGTGAGACCTTGACATCGAGACCTGACCCCATGGGGCTTCATGTTGTTCTTCAGGTTGCAGAGCTGCCGTCAACTCCCATCCATTATCCCAAGGCCAGCCATGCCTTGTTGGTTACTCGTCAGCTACAGGCTTCAGGTTGCAATAGTGTTCTTTGTGCTGCGTGCCGTTGGACTTCCGTCGCGGCAGCTGCTAGAACTGCTACTTCCCGTCAAGCCCCAGACGACAGGTCAAGCCTCTTGTCAGCATCTTTTTCGTCCCTCGCCTTGTTCAGCTAGAAAAGCTTCTTTCGCAAGACACCGACCCTGCGACCAGGCGTTCAGTATGTCTCGGTAGCTCTGGGTGTTGTGGAAGAGACTACTTCAGCACAGAATGCGCGTTTGATCCACCCAAGCCATCGGACGGTTCACTTGCAGAGCATGTTCAAATACGCGCTTGTTCGACCAGACCAGAACGGACCAGGATGATTGGCACTGTCCTGCTGCTGATCTTGCTGTGATGGTTCATCTGCGCTTGTACTTGTGATTCCAACAGGCGGCCCATTAATTCGTCAGCCGCCCCTAAGAGCAGCAGATCCTGACCAGCTTGGTTCAGACTTCAAAACACAGAACCTGCTCAAAGTCTCAAACCTAGAAATTGGCCTGCAAAGGCTTCCATACGCAGTGATGTTGTCGTAAACTCTTCAGAGCAAAGAGTCCCCGCCAGTCTGCCCCTGAACAATCAGAAGTCACCACCCTGGCAAATGCAACATGGGGGAAGTGTGTGCCAGGCGAAGCCGGCTGTAAATCCGCTGGACCTTGAGGCCTAACAGCTTCGATTGTCATCAGCATCGTCGCGAAGAGATGCGTTCACACACCAGATCACACTATCTGTCGCTTCTGAGCCGCAGGAGTTGGATGTGACCCACCGGCGGGGGCCTGCTGTCGCTCACCATGCTCCGGCTCTTGGTGGTGTGCTGAGATTGTCAAGTGCGCATCTAGTTCTGGTTTCGCAGTGCTCCAGAAACCGAGGAGCACAGGCATGCGCTCAAGGCCCATGCATGACTCCGCCTCAGCTGGGGGCCTGGAAGACCTGCAGAAGACATGCGGAGCTGAAGCCGGTCAGTGACTGTATGAGGCCCTCTCCCCTTCTGGTCCAGCGCTACGTTTCGACGCCGCGGCGGTGCGCTGGACCAGTGCAGGTTCAGCTCTAAGCCATGGAATTCAGTTGCCACCTTGGTTTAAACACACCGCCAGGGTGATGCGGCTGCGGCAGAGCAGCGGTGTGCAGAAGGAGCTCGAGGCATGTCGCATGCTGCGGATCGCCTTCAGTGACTTTGGTGCCATTTGCTTTCTGTCAGTACAAGAAATTTAAGCCTCATGATGGCCACGTCGCGTGCATTGTTTCTTGAACTTTCGATGAAACCTGTAGAGACAATTGGACGGCACAACTGTGGCCGCCTCGAAAGGTGTAAGTGTTGTTTGTGTCAGTTCTTCCAGCAGAGCAGAGATTCTCAGACTATCAATTCCAATGCGAGATGTTCAGATTCGACGAAGCATCTTTGTCCTAACATGTCTTATCTACAGCGTTTTCGATGTCAGGGAGGGCTGGCAGCATGCCGCCTGTACACTGGGCCTCTCCTGGGCCAGCTTGGCCTTGCCCTGAGTCCTCCCGCGTTCGTACTGTGTCCGGAATGCAGAATCGAGAGGCAGGAGCCGAATGCTCGTTCTTCCGGAAGGCACGGACGAAGCTCGGCGCCCCCTCAGCGGCCCGGATGCATGACAGCGCAGATCTGCAAGTTTGCGGGAGGTTGAAGGCTTTCATAAAGGGGTCTGCTGAGGAACGCTCGGAGTGTCTCCGTACAGCCACAGCCCTGCTGGAGACTTCATGTTTTGCCACGTGTGCTCATGCATGCGAGTCTTTGTCAATTGGAAGGAGCCAGAGGAGCCGCACACCTGGGCGTGCGACCCGATCAATAACGCCCAGACGGGATGCACGGCAGACGCAGGCAATCCTGGTGCGAGCTTGAAGTTTGAATTGCATTTGAGAAGCTGTTCAGGTGCAGGCCCAGGCACCCGTCTTCCAGATGTCGCGGGCCAAAGTTGACAACCCAAGGCATGTCTCTGGCCGCGCCGGAGCTTTCTTGAATCTCCCTGAGGCCGCCAACCCGAGGAGTGCCGGCGGTGCCTGCATTACAAGGCAGCTAGAATCCAATTGACCGTGGCGAGTGGACGACTCGCCCAGCTTGAGGTTGCCCACCACCTTGGCAGCCAGTTCCTGAGTGGAGGCGACACAGCGTGGAAACGTCCCGTGATTCTGAGTGGAGGCTCCTTCCGCACTGGGCACAGGGGACTGCGTGCAGCACTCACTCACCGCGACGGGCGCGTTGCGACGGCAAAGTCAAAATGGGGGGGGGCCATGGGGCCGGGCCTTTCTTCGACAGCCTTGCTACCGGCAAAGGCCCGGGCCCGGCCTACGTCCTGGCGCATTGCTGCCGCCCGCCAGAGCCTTCAAAAGAGCTGTTGGTGGATTCACTCTGTTCAGAGTTGTCTTCACTTGTGGCTTGACGGGTTTGTCCGCTTCTCTGATCTGTAACTTTGGCAGCGGTTTCCGAACGTATCTGTAGAATTGTGTCGGCTCAGGTGCTGCTTGGACCCCAAGTTCAAGGGCCACTGGCAGGCCCCTGGGTTTTCACGTCGCTGCGAGCCTCGCATGCAAACCCCTTCGACAGGCAATGTGCCGGTGATGGCTCATCCATCAGTGGTGCAGGGCGTGCAGCGCTGCAGGTGCGAGCCTGATGTCTAGATAGGACAAACGATGAAGTCTCTTCAGAAGTCCAGTTAGGGCACCTCAGCAGCTGAGGCTGAATCAGGTGGGTGCCATGGCTGGGATTGCCCCAGACTTAAGGCGCTGCGAAGCCTTTCAGCACCGCTTCCATAACATGATCGGAAGCGACCATGTGCCAGGCTGATGCCGCAGCCCAGACCGGTACAGTTGTAGTCGCAGGCTGATTTGAAGCCCGTAATTCGTGCATCATTCAAGAATAGACCTGGGCACTCTGAAGTGTGTCCGGCGACGAAGCCTTACACGTAGCCGCAGATGTCGGTGAAGGACTTGCAAAGCGGAAAACCTGCCGGCATTGGCCGCCCGTCACCCCATGGTATCCCGTGGTCCTGATTGAAACAGATTGCAGCCGCTGTCGGCTCTTCTGGGCAGATGGCGACACTGAAGCTGATTACCAAATGGCAAGGTTCCAATTCCCATGAGCTTGTTTGCAGAGTTGGTAGAGGAAGGGGAGGATGCAGAAGGGCTGGTGCACGTCGAGGACTTGGGACATGAGGTGACCCTCCAGGATCTGGAAGAGGCTTTAGCAGAGCTCGCAGCACAAAACGAGCAGCTGGAAGTGGACTGCCGAGGTCTGGAGGCCCACTGTCGCGACTTGGAGCGTGCCGGTTGGCCGGTGCCCTGCAAATTGGCCGATGTCATCCGAGCATCAGAGACGGTGGAAGAGGTGGAACCGGCACAGGGCCAGGGCGGCCAGGGCGAGCCCGATGCTGTCTCCGAGCACATGTCGATCGTACTGGCTGCAGAAGCCGCTTTGAAGGCCTCGGAAGCTGGTGGAAGTGCAGTGCAGGCAGCAGAAGTTGGAAAAGCTTTGGCAAGTGCATCTTCTGGAGTGGAGCCGGGAAGATTCCACGAACTAGCATTGCCTGTAATCAGCCGTGCGATTTCGGCCGTGTTTTGTGACGATGGAGATGCGCCGTCGGCAGCACGAGCTGCAGCCAATGCGGCCGTGACGGCTGGTCTGCAGGCCGATGCTGCGGCTGCGGCCGGGTTTGTTGCTGCAGGCAGGGCTCAGCTGACACCCACACGCATAGCCCGCGCTTACAGCTTCGCAACCTGCCAGACTCAGGGATGGTTGCCGGAAAGCATGCGCTGCGAAATGGAAAGGACATGAAGCACGCAGCTGAGCTTGGCTGGAAGACTGCCATGGAGCTTGCCCAAGCTGGAGGCCGCACTCACAGTCGTATCCATGGCACGGTCGTGTTCGCGCGTTCGTCAGGCCTTTCCAAAGATGCGGCTACACGAGTTGCGGCGCAGGCGGCAAGCGAGATCGCTTCAAAAGCATCGCGCAGCGCGGGCAAAATCTGTGCCACTCGGAGGTAGCAGATGGTAGTAGCATAGCTTATGTTCAGGGCAAACGTGGAGCCCAAAGAAGCCAACGTACAGTGAAACCGGATTTCGCTTCGCCCGGTTCCGCTCCTCGCAGCGCAAAATTCGAGTCACTTTGCCCTAGTGGGGTTTGCCGTGGCTTTCACAGAACCGGTGAAACCTGATGATGCACGGTCTGAGTCTGGCCTTTATGTCGACGCATAGAACAGGGTGTGCAGCCGAGAACTCGCAGTGTTTCGGAGAGGCACGAGGATCCTGCTTTTCACCCTTCCCCACTACTGACCCTCCCTTCTCATGATCGCTCCCCCACGCAGTCCGCGGACTTGCTCGCGATTTGTGCTGTCAGTTCATTTGTCTTATTGTTGGGACACTGCGCGGTCCACGGTCGGAAATCAGGTTGGTCTCGGCTCAGTCAGTGCGGTGAGCTGAGGAGCGGGTGGTCGAAGATGCTGCAGAAGCTGCGAAGCGGGCAGCGAAGGCTTCGCCGAGTTTGTCCACACGCCTTGGTGTAGAGGCCGCTGGCCGAGCAGCAGTGAGCACGGCACCCTGGCCTAAAACCCATTCTCAGTTGGAACTTCAGGAACTTTTGGTCGTTCACCAACCGTCGTAGCGCACTCGGAAGCACTCGTCACTACTTCGCAAGCTCTTGAGGTTGCATTGCAAGCACCTGCTCTGGATGCCTTGCAGATTGTAAAGCATGCCAGCGGTTCCTCGGCCACAACTGCGTCAGAGTGTTAAGAGGCAGGTCAGGCCAGCAGCCTCCAGCATTTGCTGATTTACTTTGAGGTGCGATCGCCGCCATTACTCGCGAGGCGATGCCTGGTGCAGAGGAAGAGCTGGTCAAAGAGGTTCACCGTGCCCTAATGGCATTGAGGCAGCATGTCCAGCAGGAGATGAGTCAAAGTGGCATCCAGACTCTGCATGCGCTTGTGTGTGGCGCTGCAGGAGCGACGAGCCGTGTAATGGAAGAGGCAATGAATGTGGTGATTGCAAAAGCATCGCACAGCAAAGAGGCCTTTCGGAATGGAAGCAGCAGCTCTTGAAAGCTGCATTTGGCCTATTCAGGCCGTTCTCGTTCAATCGCCGGAAGTATCGCCGAACGTGCCGAACCAGCAGAATGATCAAGAGGACAGGGTGAAGGAGTTGATGAAGGCGCGCCGCTCGACGGCAGTCCCCTGGGGCCCGCAGGAGCCGGAAGGGAACGGGATGCCCTGTAAATCCACTGCCAAGGTGAGAAGTCTTTTGCAGCTATGGCCGACATGCAGGAACGTTGTGCCTGCCAGCAGACTGAGACTTGCATGAATGACTTGCCCTGTTTGGCGAATGTCTTGGCTGAAGAAAGCACTTCAGCCCTCCAAGGAGATGGAGCGCTTGGTACGAGAGCGAGCCGGCGATCAAGAGGAGCTACTGAAGCTGCGTCAGCAGCTCCGCAACATGGAGCAGCAGTTGCCGGATCCCAAGACAAGAGGCAGCCCCAAGCCCTAAGCCCTAAGCCCAGCCATGCCATGAGCTCAGGCAGGAAGCCGAAGCACGGGCTGGAGCCCAAGCGGCGTGTGGGAAGACTTCTGGCACCCCTAGACCCCCCAGACTCCCAGGAGCAGCTGCGCGAAGGCGACCACATGGACAGTCTGAGTGCCACGACTGGAGACGACACTTCGTCTTTGGCCGACAGCTTGGCTGGGAACCTTGCATAGAATCGTGAGATTGAAGACTTCCGTGCAAGCTAGCAGAACATTAATCCGAGGAGCGTGCGCAGAATGCGGAAGAAGAGGAATGCTCGTGCAGGACAGAATTTTCGACAGGCAAAGTGCTTGGACGAAGGTGTCGACGTCAGCACAACCGAGGCTTCTCGGCCGAAGGCTGCGCGAGCTAGCATTGCTGGACTTGTGCTATCCGGCAACACTGAGGATGCCGATCCGGAAGAAAGGCTGATCCGGATTCTGGTTGCCAAATCGCATGCAGCTTGGTCCGTGTTGAGGAAGCTGTAGTAGCGCATGCCTTGGCGTCAGTCAGACTCACTGCCGCAGCCGGGGCTCCCTCCGGTGACACCTCAGCCAGTTTCAATCTCTCAGGCATCGCCGCTCTGGCGTGACTTGTTCCTCGACGAGATATGTTCGACAGACTTTCCGTAATGACTAGACAGCTTTGGCCATCCCGCTGAACTGCGACCTTGTTTGCAGGCTCATCTTTATACTCGAGAAAGCGGGCCACGCAAGCACAGCACCAATGACAACGGAAGCCGAAATAAAGAAGGAGCTGCAGCTCATGGCCTATCAGGTCAAGGACAAGCAGCTCGGCTTCTTCTTTTGTATGCGCAACTAGCCAACTAGCCATGTCATTCCTAGCCGCATAGTCATGGTCCTGGGAGGCTATGTCGACCCCTGAGAAGCAAAGCCCTTTCCCCGCCTCACTTGGATGGGCAGAGTCAGGGCTCTGATACTATCCTAATACTAAATAGTTATCATAAAAACACTAATAGGTTGATATTGGTTAATATCGTTTTAATGCATGGGGTTTGCGGGAACTGCTGCTAAGCGTTTCGGACCGGTGCGATGCATTGCAAATTCCTATACACGGGGGCGCCGCCTGCAGCCCGACAGTGACTCGGTGTTTTGTGCGGGCGGCGGGATCACGAGGGATCCTATTGTACTTTCCACTACACGGGGCTCAATCGTTCCCCGAATTTACAACCCCCTTGGCGGACCGAGTATGGGTGGGCATGGGTGGGTATGGTGGGGGGACTGGGGGGTATGGAGGTGGGTATGGGTGGGTCTGGGTGAGTGGCTGACTGGATGGATGGAAGGATCGAAACAAGGATAGAAGGATGGATGAATGAATGAGGTTGTTCGCTGTTGTGAACGTGGTTTGTAGTTTCCGAACTCCAAATCCGGCAATAAATGCTGTGGCATGAACGTGTTGCCACAGACCGTGAGGAGCTTGTTCGTATTTAGCCAAAGATGAGGCAGAGACGTGTGCAGGCCGTCTTCAATGAAAGCTTCAGTCAGCATTAGAGCAGACAGGGGCAACAGCCGTCGCAGCAGAGAGCAGATAGTGACAGTGCCGACAGTGTTCAGGGGCCCAGGCGCAAGCATAGATGCATGCAAGCAGAGCTTCGTGAGCCCCCTGCGCCAAGTGAGAGTGCTGACCTTGGGTTCTGGTTGTCATCTCCGGCAGAGCCTGCATTTCAAAACAGGCAAAATTCAAGCATCAGAGATGTCGGCTATGTTTTCTCTCTCAAGCCAGTTGCCTGAGGCTAGGTTCGCTCGAGGGCACAACGCCGTCACAAGAGGGCATGCTAGAAACTATGCTGAAGACAGTCGGGAAGGTCACTGATCAGGCAGGGCTGTTTTGCAGAAGCGAGCATATTTTCAACAGTTGCAGGCATACATGAGTGGATGGCACTGTGTAACTGCGTCGCTCTAAACCCGCAAGGCTGTGGATTCCGCCGTTTTGTACGTGACGCAAGATTCGCCGGCTCCAGAGGCATCATCGCGCGATCCAGAGGTCGTCGTCAAGGAGGCCTTTGCACCCGAGCGGGTAGATCCGGCTCCAGCCTCAGCTGCCTCACGCCGTTACGAGTCCAGGCAGGCCACAAGGCCACAAGCTTCCATTTTGTTTCGGTGTTCTCTTGTCTTCAGCGTAGCAGTGCAAACCCCGCCTTGGGTGTTGCCGAGGCACAGGCTGGCGCCGACGCGTTCAAGCAGAATGCTCGGCTTCGGCTGGCGGCGCGCCGAAACCGTCAAAGAGGCAGTGTGTTGAGTTGCCTGCCTGCTAATAAGGTGTTCCTGGTGCACCTTAATGCCTTGCACACCTGCACGTAGTTCCTCCGAGAACTGAGGCGTTGCTGCTTCCGTCTCCTCCAAACCGGGCGGCTAAGCCACAGGAACTCTGAAGGCCGAATGCTGAGCCTCGTGTCTTTCTTGGCGGCGAAGCTTACGGAGCGGCAGCGGCACAGCGGCGCGGCGATGCGAGCTGCCGCGGCGGGGCACCACTGCACTTCCGAGACGCCAGCGGAGCCTCGCGAAGGAGGCAAAAGCGGTGAAGAGCGGAGGCTGTGGACAAGGTGGAGATCTTGTGCTTTGCTGACGCTCCAGGACGACTATGGAGCGGTGTGTGAGCTTCACTTCTGGGCAGGTGCCGCCACGAGCAGTCAAAACAGGGGAGGAACGGCACTCGACACACCAAGAGTCCTGCTCAGCCAGGCCAGAGCTAGGAACATCCGAACCTGGATCTCCTGTGACCTGGAAAAAGACTGTCACTGCAGTGCCACAGCACTGCAAGGCTTGCTTCATCTTGCTTCGAGATGTCAGCGTTGATGAACTCCACCTTGGGATTGCTCACAGGGGGAATGAGGTTACAAGTGCACAAATGCATCATGTGAGCAGTGTCCTTGTAGGGAGCAGAACAGAACTTCTAGCTCTGCGAGAGAGGAAGGCGCGGTTTACAGTATTGCTCGGTGCGATTGAGCTTTAGTAGATAGACTGGAAGGGAAGGTTGTCGTTTAGCATGCCCGGAGCCGGATGACCGCAGTTTCAGCACTGCAAAGCAGTTGCTACTGGCCGTCTCGTTCGGATGCCGTCCAGAGATGACAACTATGCTGCTTGGTTCATTTCTGCTGACTCACCCCTGTTGCATTGGCGAGCAGTGGCGGGGACACAATATCCCGCATGAGCCCTGCAGCAGAGGACTTCATTAAGATCATTGGCAAGGGTGCGTTTGGAATCGTGGAATTGTGGCAGCAGCGCTTCAATGATGAGAAGCAGCTCAGTCGAATTTGTACTGTCCATGTATGTGTAGGCCCCAGACTGACATCCAACTGTGGATGATGTCACCTGACGCCATGTGTTTCGAACTCGGGAATATACTGGTTCGGTCGAGGCTTGTTGCTGCCAAACGAAGCTCGGCTATATGTCGCGAGAAGTGAGAAGAATGTGGCCGTTGCCCAGCGCTGCCGTCTTCGGCTCTTGTCAGGTGTCCACGTGGGTGAAATGACTGCAGAAGAAGTTGAGCGAACCAGACGCTCATAGTGCAACCTCTGTCAGTTTGTGTGCTTTGGGGACCATGTTCTAGTTGTTACCGAGTCTAACTTGATGCGACTGGTGCGTACAGCTGGGAATTCCAAGGACAAGAAGCTCAAGTGCTGAAATCTCTCCAACATCCCCACGTAGCAGCTTGGCCCGCGCTCTGGCTTGAGAACGTCTTTGCAAACAGCTGCTGGAAGTCAGGTGAAATACCTGGGCAGCTGGGTAAGTCGGCAAAAGGAGGCACAGTTGTTTCGCACTCTTGCGAGAATCACAGGTAGCAACAAAACGATACTCGTCCTGCGTGGGACAGGACCTGATCATCATTCAGGAATATTGCGAAGGCGGAGACTTGGCGCACTTCATATATTTCAAGAAGAAGAGCGGCGAGCAGATCTCCGAAGAGCTTGTGATGCAGTGGCAACTTAGCCCAAGAGGCCACCTCGGAAACACCGACGCGAGCACTGCGAGTCTAAGGTTGGCACAGCTGACGCATGCTTTGCAGTATTGCCACAAAAAGGCACGCATCCTCCACCGACTCTTTGCCGCCACAGAGGGGCTAAGTGGTGTACTGTTGGGAACAGGCGGGCAAGGTACGTCATGAAGGGCAGTATCCGTGAGCATGCTGAAGGAGACTTCAAGCCTTCCAACATCTTCTTGTCAGAGGCCACTTGGCGACATGCTTGATGCCTGTACTCGTAGCCCTCAGTTCAGAGTCATGATGCTCATGATGTCTCGCAGGACTTGCAGTCTGTGCGGCTCGGCGACTTCGGGATTGCAAAGAACTTGCGGTCCACAGCCAGCCTCTGCCAGACAGTTGTCGGCACACAGGCACTGAAAGCCTTCCCCAGGTAGAGCTTTGACGGGTGCGTTTGAATGGTAGTCTGAGCAGCGTGGAGGGACAGCAAAGTGCACCATTGCGAAGGCATATATGAGTCCAGAGCTCACGAGAATGCAAAAGTACGGGCCAAAGACCGAAGTATGGAGTTTGGGAGCCACGCTCTACGAGATGCGACTTGGGTGCAAGTGGCTTGATTTGGTTGAAATCCTGAGAAAGAGACACTAAGGTGCACACACAAAAAGCTTTATGACAGCCCTGATATCCTAGAACTGGTGGAGACGCATGGCTTCGTCGCGTGCTGTTTAGTCCAGACCCTCGTCATCCTGCAGTGTCTGCATGTTTTCACAACTCGACAGCTGAGGAAAATCTCAAGCTCTTCCGAGGCCCCGCGCTTATCGCCCGACTTGGGCAGCATGGCAGCAGATGGCTTTGGGCTACAACATGGGCAGAGGGTGCAGAAGGTCCAGCTCATTACTGTTTTGTTACTTGCCAGGTTATTCTACGGAGCTTCAAGATATTTGTGCAGCGATGTTGGTGAAAGACCCTGGAGCACGGCCGACACTGAGCGATATGCTGACGAACCATGTCCTACTGCGCGTCACTGTGCTCCAGCTCGAGCGGAACATGGACTGGGGCGAATCGCTTGTCCCTGGAGAGGACCCCAAGCTTGAAGTTTCTTTGGAGGCACAGGACAAGCTCCAGGCACTCTTCAAGAAACACAGCAAGAATGGCCTCCTGAGCAAGACAGAGCTTGCCAGCCTGCTACACAAGTTTGAGCCCGAGTCTTCCTGGGATGGTGCAGAAACATTAGCTGTTTTCGGGTTGTCGGAGGGTTGACACCAGAGTCCCTTGCTGCCTGCACGTGCTCTTTCACTTTCACTTGAATGACCACTCGACGTGAATCAGGATGTTGGACGCTTGAGGGCGCCAGTGCGGGCAGAGCGACCCATTGTTAATGTAATTCAAGTCGCAAGTGCAACCCGGTCGATGCATGTACAAAGCCTATCGGGCCTATTGCATGCCTTGTGTGGAGGATCATGAGTCCGAAACTGGGGAGATCGAAGTGGGTCTTAGCATGTTTTCTCCTACACCAGCGGAGTGTCTGTAGGGAGCAGACGGCATGCTCCTCAACCTTTACATCGCAGCGTTATCATGCATACCCTGTTCTGAGCCGCCCAGGTTGCATCCCAAGTGGGACTCGGGTGTAGCACGGATCCTACTGAAAGCAGCAGACGAGGATGGGGACGAGAACTTGGATTGTGAAGAGTTCCTGAGCTGGCTTCTGGCAGGAAACAGTGAGTGGAATCCCATCAAGCAGGCGATGATGCTGTCAGTGGACGAGGACGACCCGGAGCCACGCGTGGATCGGAGCAAAACCGAGAAAGCGTCGGAAGAAGCTCCGCCAGAAGGTGAAAGTTTCGCAGCGCTAGCGGCCAATGCACGGCAACGGCTACTGAAGCCCACAGCGGAGAGAACTTCGCTATCGCTAAAGGAAGCTGCAGCCATGAAAGACTTGGTGGAGCTTGCACGGCAACACAAGGAGCTCACTGACTTGTTGCAACAGTTTCCGTTGGACCTAGAAGCGGAGGCCATGTCAACCGTCGCCTTCGCAAAATGGTCGGTCAGCCGCTTGAAGGAATACTTGACGTCACATGGTGGCACATTGGATGGAGCTGTCGAAAAGCATGAACTGGTGGAGCGTTGTCAGAAGCTGCATCTTGAACAGAACGGCAGTGCAGAAGGTGCGGACGAGGAAGACTTAGCATACGCAGAACGTATTGATGCTCGCCTCAGGTGCTTACGACTCTTGCAGGATCAGACGGATCCCGATCCGATCCAGCTTGCTATCGCACTCCGCCAAGCACAAAGCCTTTTGGTTGAAGAGCCTTGTGTCACCGCAATCCTCAGTCATTCGCAACGTCTCGGAATGAGAGCAGAGGATAAACTCAAAACAGCGAAGACTGTCCCGGAGATGGAGCAGGCTCTGGAGATCATGGAGGCAGTGAAAGACGTGAAGCTGCCGGATGGGCACACCAACTGCGTCTCTTCGATGAAGCTCGACGAAGCCAACTTCCGTCTACGGGGCGTCAGGAGCCGGGGCTGTCATGTCCAAATCCTGCGCTTCATGGAATAAACCAAGGGCTTCTAAAGTGGCGGTTTGCATTCAGGAAAGGCATTGTTTCAGAAGACTTTATCAGGTAGGGGGGCAGCAATCGCGTTCAGGAGCAAAGAGGAGAAGATTGGAGTCCGGTCGCATTGCGGGCCTTTTGTGAAGACAAGCTCGCTCAAGGGGGACTCCACACTTCAGCAGGCAAAGCTCCAGCTCGCGCAGGTCTGGTGTCGGCCGGTAGAGGCCCTGGACTTCTTCGCAGCAGATGGTTCACCGCTCGACACCGAGGAGAGGTGGGAAGGTCTCGTTCGAGGGACTGACTCCATCGAAGTCAATTTGGTGTTGGACAGAGGTAGGCTTTTAGGTCGCAAGGGAAGCAAGGCTGGGGCGAAGCCCAAAGCCAAACTGACGGCCAAAAGATCTCTTGCGGGCCTTGCAGCATCCAGCAGCCCCTGGCGAAACTGAGCTTCCTTGATGCTGTCGACCTAGACCTCGACATGTTGCTTGTGCTTTGGGCTAGATGTTTCGTTCGAAGCTAGGGGCACCAGATGTTTCATCAACTGCGGCCTCCGCAAGATGTTAATGAACAGCCGCAGAAGGATCCCGTCTTCAAAGTAAGGCTGGCATTGGCTGTCGCGCAATACTGCTGCAGAATGGCTGCTTGTGTCAAGTTGGCAGTGGGTATCGAAAGCTTCCTACGAAGTCTGACAACGATGCGACGATTCCTAACCGCGGAAGCTGGGCTCAAGGCCATGCATCGTTCGAGCACCTACCGCTACATCTCACATACCCTATCGTACAGTCCTATATCTCTATCCTCGCATGGAAGCTCGCCAGTAGATCAGCAGATGAACACAGGCAGAGCACAGAAAGCCCTGGTGCAGCTAGTTGCGGTCATGACCTCCAGAGACCAGCACCCACATGTAAAAGCGCTGGCCGCCGACATTCCAATCAAAAAGCCAAGCAGCGATCAGACCAGCCCTCCGGCTGTCAGCCACCAGCTGTGACTCGATGCCATGGAACCGAAGGTCGGCCCTGTGCGCTCTGAGGAGGGCTTGGTGTCCTTTTCACAGTTCAGGCGGAAGGGGTTAGTCACGGTCTCTTCGCCTGTTGTCGGTCCGTCGGTCTTTGGGATTCGGGATCAGGTGCAGCCCCTGCTGCACGACGGACACTTTGGATCCTGCCCGAGCCTTAACAATGACAAAAGTAAGCGAAGCCGAGGAGCCTTGTCAGGTCTACCCCAATGTTACAGCAGGCCAATCTATGTGGCACTGGTCCCCAGCTGGGGACAAACGGACATGGACAGCATTTCTGTGTATCCATGAGTCGCACAGGTTTCACTTGCCCGATGGGCTCCATCCGGATCGGGATGAGTTCTGCCCCGGGGACAGCCCATCATGATGCAGTCCTGTCACACCGTAGAAGGCCAACCTGCTCACAAACTTGTGAGGATGAACCGTTGACCAAAGCTGACGGCGTTCACGAACGGGGAATGGCACGCTGTCGGTGTTGAGGGCAACCTTGCTTTTGTTTTGGAGCCAGCATGCAAGCCACATGGGCTCACGCCGGCAGCCCGTCTTCGCGCATAGAGGGATGATGTTGATTTGGCTATGTTACGTTTGGGTCAAGTCATGCCAAAGATCAGTGCCTGCACAGAGCGGCCCCTCAATCACTCCAAAGCTAAACTGCAGCTGGAAGATAAGCGTGCAAACACACGTGCAATCTTCGCCAGTTTATGGCAGATCTAGAAGCCCACTAGCACAAAGCGACGATTGGCTCCTGTCCAAGCCTGGCAATTTTGTGCTTGCAGCTCCCCTGCGCCGCAATGGACATGATCATTGGGCCGCTGGAGACGCCGCTGGCATCTGGATCAGTGCATGCACAGCATTGTGATTCCACCCCAGCTTGTTTTGACCGGCCCCGGCACTTTGCTTGAGCTGCCGGCGGACTTGCGGCGTAATGCTGAGCGCATCATGTCTGCAAACTCCGGATTTCATGTGAAATGGTTTAGTGATGCAGACTGCCACTCCTACATCGCACGACATTTCGATGCAGAGCTGGCTGGAATGTTCCGTCGCGAATATCGAGGCTCGTTTCGAGGAGACCTATGCCGAACAGCAGTTCTGTACCGTGAGGGAGGATTTTATGTGGATCTAGATGTCGAATTGTTGGTACCGTTGACTTCGCTCGTCGGGCTGTCGACAACGTTCATGTCTGCGTACACGTTTGACGGCGCCATGTTGAATGCCGTAATGGCGAGTGAGCCTTTCAGCTCAATTCTGTATGCCACACTCGTGGAGCTGCGGAAGTGGTACCGGGGGCAAGTCCCCCGAATCTATGATGCAACTGTAGATGGCAATGACTGTCGCAACGAGTGGATGGGCCCGCTCACGCTGCACCGCGGAATTCGGAACTTTATGCAGGCGGTCTGTCCAGGAGTAGTGCTATCTGCTTCGCAGTTAGATGTAGCTTGCGGTACACATGCCCTGCGCTTCTACCGGGAGCGTGAGCTCCAGTGCACAGTGGGCAAGGAATCACGAGAATGCTCTGATGAGCGAGCTCGGTCACCGTTTGCGGGTTCGAAATATGGCTTGTTTGCTCCTGGCCCGGAGATGTATCGAGAACGACTGTTGCTAGGTTGGCCACGCTTTGAAGCCTGTAGAAGCAGAGGTTGCTCGGAAGCTTTCCGATGGGAGAGACCGGATGAGCATCTGCAGCTAGATTGGCTTCTGCGAGCACGGATGATGCCCTGTGTCTGCCCAGAGCAGTTCCAGAGCGCTCAGAAGCTCATTACAGGCTTGATCTTCTCCTTGCCGGCCAAAGAGCAGCTCGGCCCAGCATGCGACCGGTTCCGGCCGTTCATCGAAGCTGGTGACTTGGAGTGTGCAACGGCAGTGGTTTCCAGCAGCCTGCTCTGTGCGAGTGCCGCCTCGGGCATCGACCCCAAGCTTGCCCGGACCTTCCTGGCTAGGGCGTTGCAAGCGTCGCTGGGCGGTTCCACACTGCTTTGCTACGAAGAAATGTGGCTCATCAGGATGGACGAAATCTTGGACAATTTCTACCGCTCGCACATGCCCGAGTTTGCGGAGGCCACGCTGAACTGGACCATGTACAACAGCTCCTTGGAGGCTCCAGGACTTAGAACCGCTTGTATCCAGGGTCAGGGCCGGCGTGTTTTTAGGACCACGTCTCCAGTGAAATTTAAACACACCCGTCTTAGCCTTGCAGACACATGAGTTGGACCACTGGGCGACAGGCGCAGTAGGTCCGGTGATTCGGTCACTGTTCTGCTCCACCCTATAGTCTTCGATTCTGCATCGTGCAAAACAACTAGGCCGAGCTTTGCAAGCCGCAAAAACGAATCCGAAACCTTAGATTCCTCAGCCCATCGCAAGACAATGGAACCATCTGCGCAGCATGAGCGTCCTCATCAGAAAGCGCCAGGATCAAAGCAGACATGCCGATGTGAGGGATGGACCGATGTCGGGCTCACTAGTCACTAGATGCGAAACTGCTACGACAGAGGGTGTTGGATATCGAAGTCCGCCGAGTATGGAGTGCATCCGATGCAAATCCTCCAACACTTGGCCCCAACCCTCGCTTCCGTTTTCCCTTCCCGACCCCATACCCTTGGATGCGTTTGGGAGTTGTACGGAGTATCTGTATATTTGTCTGCAATTGCTGGTGCTGGTGTGGGCTTTGTTTTTGCCGATGTATGGATTGATATGGTCACGGGTGGGTGGATGTGTGCAATGGCCCACATCGAGAGCATAGGAGAGATTCAACGTCTCCTGCCAGGCCTTCAGCCGCACCCCGGAAGAGCTTGCCAGCAGCATCATCCGCATTCGTTCGGCGCTGGCGCTCTTCGGGAGCTCGGCGAAGCCCAGTACTCTGAAGACAGTCCGCAAAGAGACAACCCAGTCAAAGCTGGGCCTCGCCCTTGCGAACCTCGAGGGCGGGGGTTAAAGCGGCTGCGCTGGCGGCTTTGACTCCTTCAGCAATCTGGATCTAAAGACCGGTCACCGCTGAATTGTTTGCTTGGCGGTTTCGAGCCGCTCCATGCCCGGTGCGAAAACTCCACTCAGCTCGAGCGGTTCGGGCGCAGAGCAACTGCGAAACCGAGAGGCATTTCGGTCCAATTCCCTGGCGGCCAGGTCCAACTTCCTGGCGATGCCATCTACGCCGGGCAGTGGCTTGGAGAGTCTTGGCAGCACCAAGCAGCCTGCTGGATCCTTGGCCTATCGGCGTATCGGACCCAAGGACCAGCGCCATGGCCAGGGCACCATGACCAGGCCCGGCGATAGTCTTATGTTTTGTGTGTTTGGGTTTCCTGCCGCAGCTTGAGAGGCCGGACGGAGGGCGCTACGATGGACAGTTCCGCCATGACAAAGCTCATGGTGTTGGCAGGCGGCTGGCTTTGCAGATCTTGGAAGAGCTGCCCCGTGCGTACGGCTTTGCATTGTGAAGGTTTCGCCATGCCAACGGAGATGTCTACAGCGGACAGTGGCTCGAGGACAAGGCAAAGGTGGGCGCTCACAGCGGTTTTGGCTCCACCATTTTTGCTCAGGCCCACGGGCATGGCAAGTTTGTTCATGCGGATGGATCCTCCTATGAAGGCGACTGGGAGATGGACTTCATCTCAGATTGACAAACTTGAATGAGGCCTGCCTTGCGAACTTGTCTTGCAAAATGCGTTGGCTGGCTAAGGACAAAAAATCCGGCAGAGGAGTTGAAACCTGGGCGGATGGGCCTTGCAGCCACGATTGCTTCCACTCTCGTCCAGAATTTTACCGTGACCGCTATCACAGGTCTCACTTCAAGGGTGAGTACAGAAATGGGATGAAGCACGGTGAAGCACTCAGGGGGTTTGTTCGGATCTCACATTCCATCATGATGCGCTTGCAAGGAACCGGCTTCTTCCAGTCTGCAGACAGTTCGACTTACTCTGGGCACTTTGTGGATGACGCGATGGAAGGCCCAAGCCACGGGCAAAACGCAGCAACATCTGTCTCGAGTCTGTGGCCGTTAGTTAGTTCTCTCACATTGCAGCCAAGTTGAGCGCATGCACAGGTCAGGGCATCTACAGATTTCCTGATGGAAGGGTGTACACCGGCGCTTGGCATGGGAGTCAGGTCGGAATCTGCAACAGGCATGCTGTCAGAGCTCAACTCTGAAACGCCAGATGCATGGTGATGGCACGATGACGTGGCGCGACGGCAGCTCCTACAGTGGTGGCTTCTCGGAGGTGCCGCCCTTGGGCGCTTGTGTTCGAGAGAGAGAGAGAGAGAG